ACACACACACACGCACACACACACACACACACACACACACACACACACAATAATAGCAGCAGCAGTAGCACCCGGTTCATTCGCACCTGGGCCTTTGTCCAGCTCAAAGACGGTGAAGGGAACGTTGCGTTCAGAGAAGATGTCTTTGGCACCGGAACAGAAGGGGCAGTACAAGGCTGAGAAGACCACCACCTTCTCGCTGCCAACCACGTTGCGAATCAGGGATGAAGCTGTCTCCACATCGTCCACCACCGCCGTTGCATTGCCAGCATCCCTGCTGCTGCTGGTGCTCATGGCGCGGTGCCTGGGTACAGCGGTCGGCTGCTGCGACACCGCCGCGCCCGTGGCGGCCAGCACGCTCGCCAGCGCTGTCTGTGGCCGAGCCAGGCGCAGCGTCATCGCCGCACCAGCCCGGCAAGGGGGCAGCAGCACCGTCAAGCGTGGAGCCGCCACGCGTGCGCTCGCGAGCAACCTTGCAGCCATCATCGTCAACAGTTGCGTGTCTTGTTGTTGTGCTTCAATTTGTTCTGGACACGTGGGTTTTGTTTTGGTTTCACATCAATGCGCGCGCGCGTGTGTGTGAATGAATGAGTGATGATGATGATGGTGGTGGTGGTGGTGGTGGTGTCGGCAGCAATGAAGATTGGTGACGGTGATGTGGCGTGTTGCGACGCAAAGCTCCTCGCGCTCGTGCTGCCTGCTGCCGGCGTGAGTTTACTGCAGGGATATTGTGTAATGTGTTCATGTCCCTCCGCATCAAGCATGTCACACAAGAAACAGTGGCTACACACGGTCACGCGCGCATGATCTGCCTCAGCAGCTGGTGGTTCTTCACCTCGCCGACACGCGTATCGAGCAGGTAGAAGAACCTGCCCATTCGTGATGTCCGTGCATTGGGGAAGCGGAAGGAGTGTTACAGCTGATCCTGCATCATGCACATCACCTGCTTCTTCAACAAACAACCACACTAACAAGACACAGACACACACACGCACGCAGACGTACACAGACGTACACACACAGACGCACACACGTACAGCCACGTGTGCCCTCACCTGTGCTGTTGAATACGGAAGGGGAGCATGTCCTTGCCAATGGCGCTCGTGCGCGCCGTCGAAAAGTCAACCGCATTCGCCGGCACCTGACACATGTTCAGGGTGTGTGTGTGTGTGTGTGTGTGTGTGTGTGTGTGTGTGTGTGTGTGTGTGTGTGTGTGTGTGTGTGTGTGTGTGTGTGTGTGTGTGTGTGTGTGTGTGTGTGATGCATACATCACAGCAAGCAGTCATGAACCCCTTCGACCCAACACAAACACACAAACACAGACAGACACACACAGACACGAGCACACAGCCACACCGCACCTCGAACTTGCGCCGGCCAAACATGGTGTATGTCTCCATCTGCAACACGGGGGCGGCCTGTCGCTTTTTCAACACCAGCTGCGTCACATATCTGCAGCCAGGAACAGAGATGTCAAGGGGAAAGGAGGGGAGCAAACGGCGCCGTCAATATGCTCGAAGATGTTGCGGTGGTGCCAGACTGAGCAGCCCCTCCCGCCTGCCAGCCGCGTTGGCGCGTTCCTTGTCAATTCACCAACACAAATTCTGTCAACAAGCACTTCTTCCCCGAGCCAAGCCTGCCTCTCCCATGCCCCCACACGCACAATACACACGCACACACAATACACACACACACTCTCTCTCTCACGCACACTCAATATACACGCACGCTCACTCACACACAATACACACACAATACAGACCTGCGAGGGATCATAACGCCCATGCCGCCAAAGATGGTTGCCATAAACAAGCAGGCAACCGTGAGCCCATATCGTTTGTAGAAGGCCATCTTCTCGCCACTGCCATCTGCACAACAGCAGCAACGAAGGCGGCAATGGCGGAGGTGAGAGCAGGAAGGTCGTGGAAGCATAGACAAGCAAGGCGGTGCGTTGACACATGTGTGTGTTGGCAGACACAAGACAACTCACCATCGGTGTGCTCGCGAACATCTGGTGCAAGGGATGCTGCACATTTGGCAAGGCAGGCAGGGAGTGTGGTTGTTAGGCAGTGCAGGGCGGGGGGAGGGATGACATGAAAGTAGGCCACTGTACAAACATAGGCTGCATGTAGACAAGATGTGCGCACACACACACACACACACACAGATACACACACGCACACACACACACACAGATACACACGGACACACAGATTCACACCCACACACACACGGACACACAGATTCACACCCACACACACGGACACACACACACACACACACACACGGATACACAGTTACACACACACACACACGCAAACTACCTGCGGATATCCAGAAGATGGACTGAACGATAGCTGTGAAAGACAGGAGGCGGAAGAAGCGGGTGCGATCGCTGTGGAAGATGAGCACGGAGCTGCCATTCTGAGAAGATGCGACGGCAGGCTTTGCACCAAAGGTAGGTCCCGGCTTGGGCACTCCATGCGGTCGACCTGCAACCCTCCGCCACGAACTCATCCTATTCACACAGGGCAGGGAGCGGGAGAGCGCAAAGAGGAGAAGATAGGAAAGCAGTTGCACACGCATGGGTGCAGTCACATATGATGAGCTGTCGCAACACACACACACACACACACACACACACACACACACATACTCACACACACACATACACACATACACACACATACACACACACACACACCTGCACAGGCAAGGGCGGTAGTTTGACAGGAGCGGTGCGCCTGCTCTCTGAAGTGCGCTTGCCCTTGTGACATGGCTCAACCCGATCCTTGCGCCCTCCCTCGTCGCCCGCGCAAGTCCAGCCAACGCTTGCTGCATCATCATCATTGTCGTGCTCGCTCAGTGGTTGCTTGTTGTGCACAGCACAACATTCATTCACAGGAGGAAGAGAAGAAGAAGAGAGAAAAAAAAAAGCAGCAAGGACAACCAAGACGACACACGACAATGGGCGAAGTTGTTGGTGAGTTGGAACGTGTGGCCTTCCGTTGCAGTGCAGACAAGGCGTGGCGCTGCTCTCGTGTGTGTGTGTGTGTGTATGTCCGTCTGTCTGTCTGTCTGACTGTTTGACTGTCTGACTGTCTGCCCTTCTGTGTGTGTGTGTGTGTGTGTGTGTGTGTGTGTGTGTGTGTGTGTGTGTGTGTGTGTGTGTGTGTGTGTGTGTGTCCTGCTTTCTGCACCCGTGCCACCACGTCTCTGTTGCCTCATGGCTGTGTGTGTGTGTGTGTGGCGCTTGTAGTTCCCCGCAACTTTCACCTCCTCGCGGAGCTGGAGAGCGGTGAGAAAGGACATGGCAATGGCATGGTGACATGGGGCCTGGACCGCGACGACGACCCTCTTCTGCACTACTGGAGGGGAATGATCATCGGCCTCGACCACGTACGTGTCTGTCTGTGTCTGTGCCTGTGTCTGTGTCTGTGTCTGTGTCTGTGTCTGTGTCTGTGTCTGTCTGTATCTATGTCTCTATCCGTGTCTGTGTCTGTGCCTTGTGCCCTGTGCTCTGCGCACGACTGCAAGTGCATGCATTCCGCTGACTTGCTCCTTGCACCGCACTGTGCCATGGTCACTCACCCCTCCTTGCCTTGTTCCCCCTCCCCACGCAAACACAGACGGTGTTCCAAGAGAACATGTATTCTGTGAAGATCTACTGCTCCGACGCGTACCCAGATGTGCCGCCACAAATCACCTTCGAGACGCCAATCAAGATGGACTGTGTTGATGCCAGCATGCAAGTGATTCCCGCAAAGGTTCCCGTCATGGCCAACTGGCGCCGCACCAACACCATGTACGACGCTCTCCAGGACATTCGCAGGTACGTGTGTGTGTGTGTGTGTGTCTGTGTGTGTGTGTGTCTGTATGCGTGCACCTGTGTGTGTGTGTGTGTCTGTATGCGTGCACCTGTGTGTGTGTGTGTGTATGTATGCGTGCACCTGTGTGTGTGTCTGTCTGTCTGTCTGTCTGTGTGTGCGTCTGTCTGTCCATCTGTCTGCATGCCTATGCCTGTCTGTGCACATGTGCAGGGCTGTGCGCACCGGTGTGTCCCTCTGCTTCTCAACGTCCCTCCTACCCCCCCCTTCCCCAATTGACATGCACCGCGCGCCATGCGACGCACCACACCAACACATAGGTTGATGGGAAGCAGTGCAAACCGCAAGACCAAGCAACCTTGACGTCCCCTTTCTCCTCCCTCCCAATGGATGTGCCAGCTAACTGTCGCCTGTTCTGTTGCTGCTTTCTTTCTGATGTGAACACACGCAACGACCCTCCCGCACACGGTTCTCTTGTTTGTTCATCGACCATGCTTATAAACCAATCCGCATCATCGCACAGCACGCCCTGTTTGTTGTTTGTCAACTTCCAACCCTCCATATCCCATTGTTCCTTGTGCCACTTCACCAAAAGAACCCTTCACCACCATCATAAAGCAGGATGACTGTTATTGGTTGTCTGTCGTAGTATGTATGTAATGTCGTCAATCACAAGCAAGAGAGAGAGAAAGAGGGGAGAAAGACACCTAGAACACGCACACACACACACACAACACGCACGAACACACATGCACAAACATGCAAGGGCACAAACAAACCCAATCCAACAGGCATCCGCTGGTCGGGTTCGAAGTCAAAGGGCGCATACGGCATTGGTCGAGCCACCACAACACGCACGAGGCAAGCGGGGCTGGGCGACGCGCACATGCTCACACGCACACAAAGGAAGGAGGGGAAAGCAGGCGGGGTTGAGGGTGAGGGAGGTCTCAAGCCGCACCGCTACAAAAGGAACCAAACATCAACCCAACCCAGGCCACCCACCGCCTCAATGGCAGCACAGGGGCTGCGAGTGAAATGTGCAGCTGCATGTGTGGCCGTATTGTGGGGCATCAAGGGAGGAGAGAGAAGCATGGGAAGTAAGGGGGTGCATACATGCTTGCGAACTGGCTAACTGGCTAAGACGCATGAGAACAGCTGCGAAAGAAGAACAGGCAACGCCATTGTAGGGCCTTGCCTCGCACAGACAACACACACACAGCACACAGCACACAAGCACACAACACACAAGCAAAAGCAAAAGCGCGCACAAACACACACATCCACACACAGGCACGAGCGCACGGAAAAGGAAGGGCATATGCGCCCGACCGAAACGGAGGAAAGGTGGAGCGAGTAAAGCAGAATTAAAGCAAGCTGGAGCGAGAAAGGCAAGAAAGGAGGGGGGGGGCAAGTATGATGATCATCCTGAGTCAACAAAGGGGGGAAGGGAGGCTTGCGGGCCTGAAGCGACACTCGAGTATCAGTTTCAGTCAAGCCAGCTTGTTGGTTCACTTGTTGAAGTAGAAGTACGCAACACCGGCACCGGCAACAACCGCGGCGAGCGCAACGTAGAGGAACCTGTTCCAACAGCACAAGAGAAACCAAAGGGCGTGCATGCGTGCGTGCGTGTGCGAGAGTGAGCGCGACAGATGAGAAAGGCGAGACAAGGTGGAATGGGAAGAGACATGAGTTGTGCCTTGGCGGAGAACAAGACAAGGCAAAACGACGTTGTGTAGCACGAACAGCAAGGCAAGAACGAGAACGAACATGAGTTCGCGTGTGGTGTTTGTTACTGCTGCACGCACCAAGATCCATCGCTCGAGGCCTGGGCGCGGGATGGTGCCTGTGGTGCGATGTTCTGCGACAACAGCGTATGAAAGCAAATGCAGTGGCCAAACGTGTGTGTACGTGAGAGTGAGAGAGAAAGTGAGTGAAAGCGCAGCCAGAGAGTATTGTTGTTGTTGTTGTTGTCGTCGTTGTTGTTGTATGGTGTGATATGCTGACGTCGCATGGTGCGTGCTGCGAAAGTGTCGAGGTGTACGCATGCATGCAAGCTTTGAGCGGATGCTGGCAGTTGGTTGGCAAGGGGTGGGCCGAAATGAAATTCAACGAACCGATTCTGTGGCGGCCTGGCCCTTCTCATCTGCAGGAAGCTCGCCAATGACAAAGTCACTGAGTTGCTCGCGGGCATCCTCGCTGTGACCAACATCCTCGAAACCCTCGGAGGCGTCCTTGCCTGCAAGATACCAGCCAGCACACGTTGAACCGGGGTCCATGAGTCACAGCAAGCGAAGCAAAGAGTACAGATAGCACGTGCATCGGAGCATCAACAAGCAAAGCAACAAGGAGCCAGCAGAAACACAAAGCAAGCTCCAGTCATACCTGCGTAGTCCATCATGACTTCCTCACCACCAGGGTGCTGCCAAGGACAACACAAGAATGTCATGTATGGTGAGTGCAAGTTCGGGGGATCGCTGGGCCCCATACACACACACACACACACATACACACGCATACACACGAAGCACAAACACACACACGCACACACACACACGCACGCACACACACACGCACGCACACACACACACAAAGCGACAGCGATGGCAGTGGAAGGCAGGCAGGCAAGGTCCTTGTCATGCACACACGCCTTCTTGCACGCACCTCGATAAGAAACTTGGTGACATCGTACACCTTGTCGTGGATGACCATGTAGCACGACTCGTTGGTGTTGTGCTTGGCGACCTCGGCATAGGAGATGGTCTTGGACATGGTGGCAGGTGTGGTTGTGGGAAGGGAAGGTGGTGGTTGGTGCTGGTTGGTGTGCTTGGCGGCTTGGATATGCTGGCTGGTGTCCACACGTGGTGTTTTGTGGTTGCTGCTTGTTGCTCCTTCTTCTTCTTTGGCTTGCTTGGCTTGCTGGTGTTTTGCCCGCACAAGCTGTGCTTTTTGAGCAGTCACGCAGATGGTGGGTTTCCCCGGAAATTTTATGCTCCAAACCATTCCAAACACCACAAAATGTAGCAAGTGCGACGCCAGCAGCGTTTGCGCTTGCGTGATGGTTGGTGGTGGTGTGTGGGGTGATGTGTTAATGATGCCATGATGCAAACGAATGATGGTGGGGGCGCTTGTTGTTGTTGTTGTTGTGATGTGATAAGATGTGACAATGACCTGCAGCACTTGAAATTGTGTGACGTGTGACACTTCACTTGATCAACAGAGTGTTTACTGAGAGTCGTGTGTGTTGGTTGGCACGAAGGAGAGATGATATGACATGACGGTGTCATCATCCGGAATTAAACCACACGGGCAAAGGCCCTGGCATGGTGAACACAGCAGCAATGCACGCATGGATGTGTGCACGCACAAGCACATGAGCGTGGACGTGGTTTTAGTCGACGCGCACGCGAGCAGGCAGGACCTTGCCAGAGCACTGGCCAAAGCCAACGCGGTAGCCATCGCCTGCAAAGGGGAAACAAAACATGTAAGATGTGTATGGGTGTTGAGAACGGGGGTGGAGGGCGCAGGTGAGTTTGTTCAGGAACACAGAGAGAGGCGAGGGGAAACACACGCACGCACAACACCACATCACGCACAACACCACACACACCACATCACGCACAACACCACGTCACACACACAACAGGACACCCGCAACACGACACACCACACCACACACAACACCACACACATACCCTGGCAGTGGCCTGCGAGGACAACGGTGTCGCCGTCCTTGAGGAACTTGCGCTTCTCGCCATCGCCAACATCAAGCTCCTTGGTGCCCTTCCACGACAGCTCAATCATGGAGCCATACGCGGACGGGTCCTGTGAACCAAAACATGGTGACAAGGGAGGAGAAGAGGGCATCGTCAAGTGGGCCGTCACAAAGTACGCGGGAGAAGGGGGTGCAGTGATCAAACATGACTACCAACATGCACATGCACACGCACAACACACACACACACACAACACACACACACAAAACACACACACACACAAAACACACATACACACACACAAAACACACACAAAACACACACACACACACGCACAGCACACACATACACAAACACACACAAACACGTACGGTGCCGCTGATGGTGCCAGAGCCCATGAGGTCGCCTGGGCGAACGTTGCAGCCCGTGATGGTGTGGTGGGCAAGCTGCTGCTTCATCGTCCAGTACATGTGCTGCTCGCGCACGCATGGAGATGATGGCGAGAACGGTAACAGGCAAGGTGAAACGCAAGGGGGGAGCAAGGAAGGAGGTGAGTGCGTGGGAGTGCACGTCGGCGGCAGAGGGCAAAAAGTGATCGAAACAGAGTGAAGCCAAGTGGGAGGTGAGTCGAGGAAGAAGGTTGGGAGGACGAGTGACGCCAGGCATGCAACCGCATGCATCCAGGAAGGTGCTGCGAACCTTGAAGTTGGTGTTGGCAACCACCTTGCCGCTGCCGCCCTCGGCTGCACAATAGGCACGACAAGATGAACACGGTAGCCAGTCAGCAGCAAGCTTCAACACGAGGGGAACCTTACATCCTCAACAACAAGTGCGGAGCTGAACCCCATCAAGCGGTCTCTCTCATCCACACCTCACACTCCAACCACCATCACTCACGGACGATCTTGACAGAGAGCTTGATGTCAAACGAGTAGGGGTCGTCGTGCTTCAGATAAGGCAGGGGAGCGGGCTCCTGTGGTGTGTGTGTGTGTGTGTGTGTGTGTGTGTGTGTGTGTGTGTGTGTGTGTGTGTGTCATTTCACTCTTCTTGACCCTCGTCCTCATCCTTCATCTTCAGACAACTTGATTCCCTTCCTGCCTGCTGAGTCTGGCTCATACCCACTTGAAAGAAGATGCACGCTTCGCGAGGCCGGTTTGCCAGCTTGTCTCCGATGCTGCTCCGAGCAGCGGCTGTTGTGGTTGTGGCAGCCCTTGCCGTGGCAGCAACGTGCACGCTGGCCACAACGACAACGGACGGCGGCACCACGGCGTCCAATGTCGACAGCGCCGGGTGCCTGTGGGAGTGGCAGTACACGCCATGCAGCGCGCCGTGCGATGGAGGCACCTTCTCGCGACACAAGGTTGTGCTGAGCCGGCCAGACTCCAACGCCACATGCGAGGTCATTGCCAACCAGACAAGCATCCCCTGCAACACATTTCCCTGCTCGGCTACTGGCGACGACCAGCAGCAGTACATGGAGGACCCGGAGCTGCGTGTGAGCGACGGCAACATCATCGTTGCCCTGCCCACCACGGCCAACGACTTGCGCATCGTGCGAGGAAGCGCCAACGAG